AGTTTTTTTGATCTCATAGATGATGCTGATAAGCCTTTATATCACGAGTGCACAAAGTACTCAAAGCTATCATTCATGGTAAAGCTATATCATATAAAATACTTATACGGTATCATAGACAAGGCAATGTCAATGCTCCTGGAATTATTGACAGACACATTCCCTCATGTGAATTTCCCATCGTTGTTTTATAAAGCGAAGAAGATGATTAACAAGCTTGGCTTAAACTACATGAGAATTGATGCCTACCCAAATGATTGTACGTTATATTACGGAGAGCATGCCAGTAGAGAGACTTGTACAAGGTGCAAGACATCTAGGTATAAGCCCACACGGAAGGGAAAAAAGCAGAAGAAGAAATCTGCAAAGATTCTAAGGTATTAGTTGCTTTATTATTTGCTTAAATTTTTTTATAACTTTTGTCATTATTAAACTAATCATAATTGTTTTCATTTTCTTTACAAATTATGTCATTAATAAACTAATATAATTGCTTTAATTTTTCTTTAGAAATTACATCGTTAATAAGGTAATAATATATTTGCTTTATTATTTTTTAAATTATTTTATTACTTCAGTAATATATTTGCTTCATTATTTTTTTACAATTATTTTGTTAATGAACTACTATATATTTTCATATTTCAATTCTTAGGTACTTTCCTTTGAAGCCGCACCTGCAGAGAATATATATGTCATCAAAGATGGCAAAGCATATATGGTGGCATGATGTTGATAAAAATCCAGACGGCAAGTTAAGATATCCACAAGATTCTGAGGCATGGAAAGCGTTCAACTCAGAGTTTCCAGATTTTGCTGCTAATCCTAGAAATGTCTGACTTTTATTGGTGACTGATGGTTTTAATCCCTTTAGTAATATGAGCACCAGTTACAGTATATGGCCTGTGGTGTTAATTCCGTATAATCTCCTGCCTTAGATGTGTATGAAACCTAGCTCTTTTTTGCTATCCATGATCATTCCTGGCAAGAAAGCACCTGGAAATGATATAGACGTATACCTACAACCACTGATATAGGAATTGATTGAGTTGTGGACTACTGGTGTGAAAACTTATGACTCATACAAGAAAAAGCTTTTCAACCTTTGTGTAGTGTTAATATGGACAATTAGTGATTTTCTTGGGTTAGGAACATTATCTGGTTGGAACGTACATATGGGGTAAGCTTGTCCTAAGTGCAACTTTGACTCTGAACCTGTGCGCCTTCCACATAGTCGTAAATAGTGCTTTATGGGTCACTGGCTATTCCTCAGTTCAAAGCACAGATTTAGATTGCAACAAAATTGCTTTAATGGTAAACAAGAAAAGAGAGATCCTCCTCTTGCTTTGTCTGGCATCAATATATTTCAACAACAAGAGGGTATTGATGTTGAGTTTGGTAAGATTGATGAAGTCCAACGAGGCAAATGATGTTCTCGCAGCACATCTAATGGTCAGCCAATATGATGGTGGAAAAGAAGTATCTTTTACACCCTTCCTTATTGGAAATTTAATTTGATCTGCCATAATCTTGATGTCATGCACATCAAAAAGAATGTGTGTGATAATGTGCTATACATATTGCTCAACGAACTCGAAAAGTCTAAAGAGCACCTCTCTGCTAGGAAAGATTTACAAGCCCTTAGAATTCGTCTAGATGCTTGGCTTGATAATAATGACAGGTTTCAACTAGCTAACTTCATATTGATGAAGCAGAGCAAGGATATCTTCCTATCAACATTAAAGAAAATAAAAGTTCTTAATGGATATTCCAGCAATATCTCAAGGTGTATTGATTTGCAGGCTCGAAAGGTTATCGGGTTGAAGAGTCATGACTCGCATGTTTTGATGCAATAATTACTTTCTTTGGCACTTAAAATCAGACTCCCTCCTGATGTCTCTATGATTTTGGTGGAGCTGTGTTCATTTTTCAAGAAGTTATGCGTGAAGGTTTTGATACCAAGGGAACTAGACCAACAGTAGAATAAAATAATTTTGACACTTTGTCATTTGGAGATGATATTTCCTCCATCCTTCTTCACTGTCATGGTTTATCTAACAGTTTATCTTGTTCAAGAAGCAAAACTTGCTGGCCCAATTCAATATCGATAGATGTACCCTATTGAAAGGTGTGTCATATTATCTCTTTTAATTTTTCACATTTTAATCTCAATTATAGACAATTATTAATCATTAATTAATTAAACATATAGATATTTAGGAAAATTAAAATCCTATGTCAGGAATAAGGCGTGGCTAGAGGGGTCACGAGCAGAAGGTTATGTTGGAGATGAGGTCTTAACTTTACGTTCCAGATACTTTGACAACATTAAGACAACTTTCAATCGCCCCCCACACATTGACGATTATCCACCTGTTCTTCCAGTTCAAGCAACTTCTTTCCTTCTGTTGGGAAACTAGTTAGAATGTTTGAATACTTCAAACTTACTCCTATCGAGAAGTTACAAGCACATAAACATGTCTTGATAAATTGCACTAAAATTGAACATTTTCTCCGGTAAGTTGTACACTGATTTTCTTTTTTTTTTTTGTTTAAAATTTCTTCATCATTACCTTCTTTAACAAATAACACTATAGGAAATTTAGAAGATATGTCAGGCAGTAACTATGGGTTCATTCACAAACATCTGTTGAGGTTGACAAGAGAGTCCACAGAGAATTGCTGAGTTGTTTTACACGTCAAATGCATAATGACAACACTCCCCACATAGCTAAACTCAAAAGTCTTGCATATGGTCCATTTGATGATGCCAGGAGGTTTATTGCATATAATGTCAATGGATTTAAGTTCCGTATAGTAGCATGTGATCAGGGTTTGCTCACACAAAACTCTAGAGTTTTTGGCACGTATGGAACAAGGAGTTATGCTAGTACTAGTGATAGTGACATGTGATTTAGAGGCATTCCTTACTATGTAAAGCTTATTGATATTATTGAGTTAAATTATCAAAGACTTTTCACTATCACTCTGTTCAAGTATTGCTAGGCAAATACGACAACTTCACGTGGACTCACTACTGACGAATTGGGCATTACATCTGTTAATTTCTCCAGGCTTATTCATATGGGAGAATCTAAAGATCATGACCTATACATTCTTACCTCCAAGGCACACTTGGTTTATTATGTCAAGGACGAGAAACATAAAGATTGGAGTATGGTGGTTCACCTCAAGCCACAAGATCTTTATGACATGGGTGATGATGGTGATGATATCGTTTATGACAGTGAACCTTTCCAACCAACGAATTTTTAAAATTTCTTCTCATAGGAGATGACAATTTACCAATTGTTAGGTATTTCTTTTTTATATATAATTTTGGTTCATTTTGTTAACATTTTTGTTTTTACTTAAATTTATGTGTGTTATAATTATTTCTCATTATTTGACTTTATATATCTCCTTTCAAACAAGGTGATAAAGACTAAATTTTTAACAGTTCATTTCAAACCATTTTTTCAAAATTAGTAAGTTTTTTTCTTTATAGAATTTTATTATTTGTAGTGGTTTTTAACCACTACAAAACTAAACCGCTACAAAATGAATTAAATCGCTACAAATGTCACTGGCCATCTATAAACACCCTTACTCTCCCTCTCATTTTTCACACCCCCTCCACTTCTCCTCTCCTTTCTTTCATCAGAAAACCTCCCTTTCTGTCCTATGATATTCCTCCTCCCATTTTCAAATTATAAGTTTTTTATTGTTTCTTTACTCTTATTTTCTCATATTATTTAATTTTAATTTACTAATAAATTTTTTTCATATAGGAATTATTTATTTTTATTTTTTACTCTTTCTAATTTATTTCTAATATTTATAAATAACATTTCAGAAATTTTTTTAATTTTTATAATTATAAATTATAAATATTCTAATAATATTTATTTAATACTTAAAATATTACTAAAATTTCCTTATATAACAAAAATTTAAATAAAACTTAATTACAAATTTGATAACACATTTCATTTCAAAATTATATTTGCAAATCATATTTAATTTATTATATTTTATCTTCAAAATTTGATTAATTTTTTTCAAAAATTCAACATAACATTTTGTAGCATTATAAAAATGCTACAAAAAATAAAATTAAATAATATTTTCACGTTTGCTACAAAATCGTCCCAGTGGTGCCATTTTTTAAAAAAAGATTTTATCATTTGCAGTGATTATATAACCGCTACAAATTTTACTGCCAAATTCAATTTTCAGTCCCCGCCATACCAATTTTTTGCTGCCGACACTTAGTAGCAATTAATAGAACTGTTACAAAATGTCTGGATGTGATCTCATTGATCGCATTATTAGTAGCAGTTTTATAACTGTTATAAAATACTGTTTTCGTTGGTTATTGTGTGCTGCGGTTCTCCTTAATAGCTACAAATCCATTTGCTTCGGTAGGTTTTATAGCGGTTGTCCAAATCACTACAACTGTCACTTGTAGCTGTTAAAACCATTACAAATCACGTATTTTAACCGCTACAAAGTACATTCTTTTTTGTAGTGCTTATATGATGGATTTGGAGAGTCAATATGGCACTTTTTAAAGTTAAATTGTCAAGCTTGGAATCTATTTTGTGCAAAGTCTTGTTGTAACTGATAAAGTTCCAAGATTACTAATTCAAACCTCCTTCTGAAGGAGAAACTGATTTATAAACTCCTTGAGGGATTACTTCATTAGAGGCAATAAAAGGTCAAGAAGTTACCTTTTGATTTCTCTGGATACCCTCTTAAAAGGAGGATATTAGTCATCATAAGGCTGCATTATAGCAATACATGGGATAGATTGTTAGACTGGTGAAGGAATAGTTGGAATGATTAGATCAAGATGTTGTTTAGGAAGAAATTCTTCATGACCTATTTCCTGAATAAGTTCAAAGAGATTCATATCTTTTAAAGGCTTAATAGGCTCTGGTAGAGTTTTCCACATATTTACTCTAACTAGTTGTTTTGGCCCATGGTCATCATCATCATGTTTGAAAGGTTTCTTATGAGAACAAGAAGAACATTTCTTTGACGATCTCAGTAAAGCTCTTTTGAGAGCATAAGACCAATCATTGTCACTGTCATTTGAGAGATCTTAAAAATCTCATTGATCACAATCACATTTAGTATCACACATCTCTGCTGTGTAATCCAAAGAAAGTGATCATTTACCTGGCAAACACAGACTGACTTGGCTTAGGAGTAATCCAGGCAATAGGCGGCTCTTTTTTGGACTGCATGTAAGTAAGAGATCTAGACAACATTTGGCATGAAGGCCTACTGGGTTATTCTGATGAAGGTTACTTGAAGATGGATTTAACAGTTCTACCTGGCAGCCTTTGCAGAGTTAGGGGAGCACTAGTACGAACATCTCTTGGAATGGAATGAAATTGTTTCTTGCAATTATTAATCTAATCAAGTGATATCAACCAAGAATGTTCCTCTTTTGGAAGTTGATGAGGGTTTTAAATAATAGGCATATCATCAAATTTATCTACTACCATATAAAGTGTATCTTCAGTAGAGTTTGTAAAATAAAGATCAAGAGAATGATTTTGTACCCGATAGATAATTTGATGATGAAGTATAGCCATAATGGCCTTAGGATCTTAATCAGCTCTAACTATCTGTACCTGAACTTTAAGTCTGTGATAGAGAGTTGGATCTAAAACCTTCATGTTGAAATTTGGAGCAATCATGAGGATAACACTTTCATTGCTAAGAGTAATAAGAAGAGTACCAATTAAAGCTTTATTATAGGATGTATAAGTTGTGTCCAAAAGAGCAATTTTAGTAGTTGTCAGAATAACTTTTCTTCTATGAAGAGTGAGAATAAGATGAACAGCATTGATATGGAGATGAGTATACCATTGTGCCCTCCATGAGTCAATAAGATGCTAGGGGATTTTGAGAGTGACATATTACTCAGCCGTAGTTGTCTAAAGACCACTGATCAAGCTTAAAAGTTTGAACAACTTCTTTAGTATGAGTTCTTCTAGTTGAGATAAGAGATTGGATACTCCTAGTAAGTGAACTAGAACAGTGATAAAGACTATAAGGACTAAGAAATAGGAGACTATATTTTGAATGCGAGCATCTTCTGAAAGATGAAGGATTTCTATAACGTTTTCTATTTTATTAGAAGTCTTTTTTTTTTTAATATAGAGGGAGGTAAATGCTCAAGGGAAAGACAAGAAGAAAGTTTAACAGGTTCAAGAGATGTAGATTCACTCATAGTCATGGAGTTTCTTACTAACTTTTATCTATAATATTTTACTCGTGTCTCAAAAGAGACAGGCTCTGATGCCACTGAGAGTAAGTCTTCGTGACAGAATCACTGAGACTCAATCTCTCTTGAACCCCTTGGATCATTAAATCCTAACTTTACAAAGGCCCATGTCTACACCCAGATACCATAACCCGATATAAAAATCCACATCCTTCTAGATAAATATGCAATGCCTATCCCAACTATAGCCTTTATTGATATCGGTTCATGCTATACAGTTATGAAATCTCATATTCTTCCTCCGAAAGAATGGGCACCCTTCAACTAATATTTCACAACTGTAGATGAAAAACCTTTCAAGATAAAATTAATAACCAGAAGAAAGATTGATATCCAATACTTTCCTGATTGTGTTCTTTAGATGAAAGTTTTAGGTAGTGATCTTCCTTCAAAACATCTTCCTTCAACTGGTGAACCGGCCTGTTGTCCGGTTCGGAATAAGACAAGAACCGGCCAGGGGTTAAACCGGTGGTGAACCGGTTGAGCCGGTATGAACCGGTGTAAAACCGAGTAAACCACCGGTTTAGGTGATTTAGCCGGTTCAGAACATTTCCCTCTCCAGAGCCCCAAAACAATGGCGTTTTATTAAAAAAAAAAAACTTCGAACCCAAACCAGCTCAACCTCGACCGCCCAACCCGTCTCCTTCGGTCCTTCCTCATTCGGTCTCCAAAACGGCAAAACCATCTCGGCAGCTCCTTCCTAATCCTCAGTCCCAGCCGCCGTCGCCGTGTGCTCAGTGAACCTCGCCGCCGTCGTCGTGTGCTCACTGTCCCGTCTCGGTACCGGCTTGCTAAATCTCGCCGTCGTCGCCTCATTGAATCTCCCAGCTCAGCTCACTGAAGCTTGCACTGTCACCGCGTCGTCCCCTGCCTCGCCTGAAGCTGGTCGGTGCCCTGCCTGAAGTTGCTCGTCCTGCCGTCGCCTCGCCTGAAGCTGCTCGTCCAGACTCCCAATTTCGTTTGACTCGGTTTGAGCTCTCCGTCTCTGTCTCTCTGATCTCTCGGCCACTCTTATTTTCGTTTGAACTTGGATTGAGGGTGATAATCTATTAATCTCTGCCATCTATTATATTTCTGGTTTGATTTTTCCTTTGAGTTTGGATTCTCTGCCTGTCTGTCATTTTTTATTTTTCCGTGCTGCTTCATATGGAGTTGTGGTGTTAGATTGCTAGACTATCTGGAAATAATAGATTGAATTTAGTCAATTTACCATAGCATTGGAAATATACTATATGGGTTTATATTAATCATATGGAGTTGTGGTGTTATGTTCTTTGTGTTATGGCTGCTGCGATGTTCAGATGAGAATTGAGAAGAATCATTTTACTTGTTGCATTTTGATTGTTTAATCATTAATGTTTTATTAAGCTTTTGATTTTTTTTTTTAGTAGCAGTGATGGATATTACAAATAATCAAAGTTTTGGAAATGACAACATGACTTCTAATACTGGATCTTCAACTCCCCAAACCGAAACCTCCACACCCACATCTTCATTACGTGCCAAAACTGATCCAGCATGGGCACATATTGCCTACAAAAAAGAGGGAACACAAAATATATATACGTGTCTTTTTTGTACTAATAGTTATAGAGGAGGTGGGATCAATAGGATGAAGCAACATCTTGCTGGCACTGTTGGTCAAATAGCTGCTTGTAAAAAAGTTCCACATGATGTACGTCATAGAATGGCAGAGTCTTTAAAAGAAGGGTCAAAGAAAAAAACTATTGAAAACATAGAAGAGGAAATCGAAGAAACTCATATTGGATCACCAAATGTCACAAGTAGTGCAAGGAAGAGGAAAGCTTCTGGGAGCATAGACAATTATTTTGCTCCTAGAACAACTCCTGATTCTCAACCTGGCATTAAGAGTGCATTAGCTACTAAAGAAGCAAAGCATAATGTGAAAATATTGATTGCTGAATGGGCTATTGTAAATTGCATTCCGTTTAAGGCGTTTGATTGCCCTTTATTTCAAAAAGCTGTGGATGGTATTGCTTCAATAGGGCCTGGGTTTAAAGCTCCTAGTGCTTATGATTTTAAAACCAACTTGTTGAGTGACTGGAGAAAAGAATGTCAGTTACTCATTGATAGTCATCGAGCTAAATGGAAAAATAATGGCTGCACACTCATAGCTGATGGATGGACTGATGTTAGACAACGTACTTTGATAAACTTCTTAGTGTATTCTACACATGGTATGGTATTTGTGAAGTCTGTTGATGTATCAGATCTAGTTAAAGATGCCAAAACTCTATTCACACTATTTTGTGAAGTCATTGAGTGGATTGGTCCTAAAAATATTGTTCATGTGGTGAATGACAATGCAGCTAACTATGTAGCATGTGGTAGATTGATTAAAGAGAAGTATAAAAGTATTTATTGGTCACCTTGTGCTGCACATTGTTTGAATCTTGTGTTGAAGGACTTTTCAAGCATGCCTCATGTGTCAGACCTCGCATCAAAGGCATCAAAGATAACTGTATTTGCATATAATCATATGGTTTTCTTATCGTGGTTGAGGAGAAGACCAACTTGGAAAGAAATTGTGCGTCCTGGTGCCACGAGGTTTGCTACCACATTTATTACATTGCACATCATATATATGCACAAGAATGACTTGCAAGCTTTAGTTGTTGATAAACACTTTGTGGACCACAAATTATCAAGGACTGAAGCTGGAAAAAATTTTAGTGCAATCATATTGGACAATCGGTTTTGGAATGATTGTTATCAAGTTGTGAAAATTGTATCTCCTCTCATAAAATTGTTGAGAATTGTTGATTCAGATGAGAAGCCTTCATTGCCTTATGTTTATGAAGGCATGCGAAGGGCGAAAATGGCAATTAAGGAGATGTTTAAGAAGAACAAGGAGCTGTATAAGCCCTACACAACAATCATTCAAACTCGATGGGACAAGCATTTAAAGACCAATCTTCATGCAGCATCATATTTGTTGAATCCTGCAATCACATATGCTCCAGACTGCTCTATCAAGTCAAAGTTAATGATGGCTTTAATTGATGTGGTGGAGTCTTACTCAAACGAAGAGGTTGATGGCTTCTTGGTAATGAAACAAGCAACTACTTATCGTGAAGCCAAAGAATCTTTTAGTAGACCATCATGTCAAAAAGCAGCACAGAAACTTGACCCTTGTAAGTGTTTTATTTAATAGCTAATAGTATATTTATGGTCATTCACTAATTTTATATTTCATATTTTCATGATTTAGATGAATGGTGGACATATTATGGATGTTCAGTGCCAGAATTGCAACGTGTTGCGATGCGCATTCTTAGTCAAACTTCTTTTCTTCTGGCTGTGAAAGGAATTGGAGTTTATTTGAACGCATTCATACAAAAAGAAGAAATAGACTGGAGCACAAAAGGCTAAATGATTTAGTTTTCACAAACTATAACTTGCGATTAAAGTATAGGTAATTTTATAAGTTATGAACATTTTTATTTTGATATGGATTTACATCTAATTAAAATTTTATTTGTCAAGAGTACATTGAAGAAGCAGAAGGCAAGCTATGATCCTATTGACTTTGAAAACATTGATTTGGTGGACTTTTGGGTGACTGAAGAAGATCCTGTTCCAGAGTTTGATGATGGAGATGTGGCAACATTTGAAAGTGTTGTCAACAATGAAGACATTTCAAATTTGACAACTCCTGGGAGGGATAATGAAGGTATTATTGTCTTAGTCTCTTAGAAGTTATAAATATTTTTATTTTAATATTTATTTACATACATTTAATTGACACTTTATTATTGTCTTATTTAGGTGGTGATGATGATATGAATATTGTTGAACCTCCACTTCTACAAGATGATGTTGCTACTCCTTCTAATTTTCCTCTTCCAACTATTGATGTCTCAATTCCTGACCCTGCCAATGAATTTAATGATGATTTTGATTTTCTGTAATGATGAAGATACATATTTGTTAGTGTTAGTTTGGTACAATTAAATGTTTAAATCACTTTGGTTGTTTTTTGTATTTTGTTGAATGGTTATTACTGATGAATGTTATTTTTATTTTGTCATTGCCAATTAAATTATATTATTTTAATATGACCGGTTTGACCCCGGTCTGACCCCGATCTGACCCATTGACCCTTAACCCACTAGCTAGACCGGTTTAGTATCCGGTCCGGTTTTTTGTTCATTGACAAAAACTACTCATCCTAGAATGAATCCAAAAGATATTGCTCTAGCCAAAAAAGAATGTGATGCTCTGCTCAAGCAAGGGCTAATTGAACCAACCAAGTCTGATAGGGCCTAAAAAGAGACCAGAAATCAAAAGAGAAAAGAAATGACTTATTATTGACTATAAGCCCTTGAACATCTTTCTTCAATATGATAAGTTTCCTCTTCCAAAGTCCAATACCCTCTTAGTTTATCTGAAAATACCAAGATATTTTCCTAGTTCGACTTGAAAGCTAGTTTTTGACAATTGGGCATTCATCCTGAAGATAGATACAAAATGGTGTTTTGCATACCTAATGCCCAATATCAATGGATAGCTATGCTATTTGGGCTTAAGGCTGCATCATCATTGATTCAAAAGGCTATGATCAGAATCTTTGAATCCATTCTCTCTAATGCCCTTATCTACATAAATAACATTATGATATTTTCAGAAGATGAGCATTCTCATAAATACTTTCTATCTTAATTCCAGCAAATCTTCTAGCAACACAGGATTATGCTTTTAGCAAAAAAGGGTCTGATTGAACCCAAATTGAGTTTATGGGAATGATCTTTGAAAATGGTTATTATCAGCTTAGTTCTCACATTGCTGAAGAATTACTCAACTTTCCAAACAAGAATTTGTTAGCAAAACAAGTACAACAATTCTTGAGAATAATCAACTACATCAGAGACTTTATCCCTCACGTGGCAAATCACACAAGCCAACTGTCCAAACTACTAAAAAAGAATCCACCATAATAGGAACTAGAGCAGACAAAAGCAGTTCAAATTCTTAAAAGAATAGCACAACATCTGCTTCCTTTAAAGATTCCTGACAACGAACAACGGATCTTACAGTCAGATGCTAGAGATGACTTTTGGGGAGCTGTCCTAATTGATGATATTGATGGGAAATGATACTACTATGGCCATACTAGTAGACAACTCAAGGACTCTAAAAAGCTCATTTTTCACCTCAGTCCTTATCACTTTATAGTAAAAATAGACAATACATCTTTCCTGAAGATGTTAGATCAAAAGAACAAAACTCTTCCTGACAACCAATTGCTTCAATGGAAGGATTGGTTCTCGAGGTATAAATTCACAGCTAAGCATGTTAAGAGTCACCATAACATCTTAGCAAACTTCCTTTCTAGACCTCACAAAGATCCACCTTCTTAATCCCTAATCTCACCTAAATCATCTTCTCTATTATACATTCTCAACATTATGCCTCTTTGAAACAAAAGCTTTGCACCAAGTTTTCACCCTAAAACGACCTCTGATGTTAATCACTATGCAAAAAAGAACTTATTTTACTGGCTTCTTCTTAACTACCTATCCTATATAGTGTTGTGTCTTTCTTTTGCAGTACTATATTTGAAGAGATGATGTGATTCCTATGGTATTTGACTACCCTTTGTACATGTGCCGTAGCCATACCATCTCTTCCCATTTACCACTATCTGTGTAATGCCCGTAATAAAGGATCTAATGTCCATACCACACTTGAATGGTTCTCACCTCTTTTTAGATGGTGTAGACAAATGCAAAACGTCATCAATGAGTACAATATTTGGAATGTTCCAAAGGCAAAATAGAAGAGAAGTGCTTACTCTATCTTTGTAGATCATAGACCATTTCATACTGACTCTTTAGGATGAATATATTCTGCAAAACAAACCTGTCTCTAGTATATCTCAACCAACTGGTCTCAAGATGGGAAAAAAGTTTTGACTCAGTTAAAATGATTTTTAGTTGAGTTAAATAATTATTCTAGATCTAATTCGAATCTATCGTGTACTTCACTAGGCCCTATTTCCCAATACTGGCCAGAACCTAATAGACTGATCCTCTATCTGTGGATAAGCAACCATCTTCTTCTAGCTTGCTCTCGCACACTAACCTTACTTTAGCCACATCATCCCAAGAAACTCAAAAGGAGGAACAGACTTAGATTCCTCTTCCTCTACCTGATTCACGAGACTTTCATTCACAGTTGCCTGACTTTGCAAGCATGCGTCCTAGTGAATTTGAAAAATATTTTTACCAACAAATAGAAAGTTGGAAACAAATGTTGAAGATCCAAAGAAAAGAAGAGAAGAGAAGAGATATTCTAACATGTCACATGATCAAGAGCCCATCTGCAAATCAGACTATTGACGCTCTAGGATGATGACAAGATGTTTTGTCCAAAAAGTAGACTAGTCTTCTTTACATGTATTTTTTGTCTTATATGTACTTAGAAAAGTCATATTTGAGCAATCACTTTTCTAAAAAGACATGCTTGAGTTATCATTACTTTAAGTCACGTCATTTACTTTATGTCTCGTCAACTTTAATTTTATGTTATGTCTTAACTTTTGAATCAGCTATTGTAAAAAGATGTGTATGAACTAATGTTTTGTCTTTTTCTCAACTTGAAACCTATAAATTCAAGCCCCCTATCATCGTAACATACAAGTTGAAAGTTTGACGCTACATAATAATACTAGTAGGTTCTCTATGAATTCTTTATAAATATCTCTTTCTTCCTAAAAGCTTGATTCTATAATATCTTGTCTGTGTCTCCAGAGATTTTAGTATGCTCTGTACTTGTCTCTTAGAGGATCTTGAGTATCAAAAAGAATATGTCCACAATCCATGAGGAGTAGTCTCTCAACTCAGATGATTTGAGTTTAATTCTAATGTCATGAGATTGAGGTCCTAATGTGGTCCTTGTAGTTGGAGATTTTGATAGTGGCTTTACTTAGCAAGATCTCATAGCATCTGGAACTGAGCCTTAGTGATTCTACCAAGGAGACGTCTTGTGAATTATAGGCCAAATTTTTAAAAGCTGAACCAGTATTTGTTGGCCCTTCCAAAGCTTTTCTTCTTCTATGATAAGTTTAATTACTGATGGTTTTACACAAGTTAGTAAGTTTTTGCTGACCTAAGAGCTTTAAGACTTTTACACACATTAGTCAGGCTGCTAACAACAGTGACAAGCATCGCTAGCAAACCTTAAATAAGTTTTTTTTTATCGTTGAGAATGCTCTCAAATAGCTAATATTTTTCTCCTACGTTCTTAATATAAGTCATTTTTAAATATATCAGTATAATTGTTTAAAAATTGTTTTAATTCCATCTTTACTCATAATAAATACAATAAATTTAAAAATCATATGCTGCAGTCTTAAAGAAATACAAGAAGGGACTACTTGTATAATTTAATCAATACTCCACGATGTTAATATTTTCTGAAAAAAATACAATACAAAATTTTCAGTAAGCTAGATTTTTTGTTCCTACCTCAGCCATGCTCGCATTATAAATATATTCTTTGATTTTTGAGAATTTTGAGACGAAACTTGTTCCATTTAATACTCACTCAACCATATATCAATGTTCTATTTCCTATAGCAACATTCATTTTTTCCTTTAGACTTTGTTTTAATAGAGACAAAATAAGAAGGAGAGAATAATAGCAGGAAAAACCGTTACGAATAGTAAAACTTTTACTATTTGTGATAGTTTTTTTCTCTCTTAGAATTCTCCCCTACCTATTTTTCTCCTTATCCGAATGAAGGATTAATGTCAATTATATGTTCATTGCTTCTTCAATTTGCCATACCGTTGACTTCATACTATAATCTACATTTGATCTTAATTTCCTGATTTCATGCAATCAACCATATGCAATGTGATATATATTATATAAGAGGAAATGATTCATTAATTCTATAATATTTGTAATAATCAAATAGAATATCAATCAGCTTAGTTAATTTCACCCCGAAAGTGGACCTTCAGCGGCGACTTTTTTTGTCGCCGCTGAAAGTATAATATAATAATATATATTTTATTTTACAATATTAACGAACAATTCAATCTGGCTCAGCGGCAAGAAGGTTGGACACGAAAGGAGGCGGTCACGAGTTCGATCTTGGAAGAAGACACATTTAAGGTGGAAATATTTAGACGATGACGTGGCGATGAGGAGTGATGTGGCAATGACGTGGAGGTGGCTAGTGATGATGTGGCGGTTGGCGGTGATGACGTGGAGGTCGACGGTGCTAACGTGGCGGCCGGAGACAATGACATGGCACCGGCGGTGATGACGTGGCATTGGTAAAGGCAATTCTTCTTAGGCATTACTTTCAGCGGCGAAAAAAAAAAGTCGCCGCAGAAAACACTTTCGGCGGTGACAAGAGTGTCGCTGCCGAAAGTGTTTTCTGCGGCGACTTTTTTGTCGCCGCTGAAAGTGTTTTCGACGGCAACATTTGTGGCCGCCGAATCTTCTAAAAGTCGCCGCTGAAAGTATCTTTTAGCGGCGACCTTTTAGTCGCCACTAAAAGTTTTTAGCCACGGCTGCTATAGCAACGACTTTTCAGCGGCGACTTGTCGCCACA